CCATTTGTTTTTCATTTTTTGACGACTGTTTCTCGTCCTTTAATTGAAAATTTTTTTAATGTTCCGATTTATTGGTTATTTGTATATTCTATATACTAACCCTCTGGCAGGTGTATTTATTAATTGCTAGTCTAATGCCTGTGCTATCAGTGTTCTACTGAGAAAGTCCTTTCCTGTGCCAAAGAGTTCAGACATTTTTTTTCTACTTTTTTCTTCTACCAGATTTGAGGATAATAGGTGTTATATTGAAGTCCCTGATCACTTTGTATTTGAGTTTTGTTAGGGTAAGAGATATGGCTCTAATTCATTCTTCTCCATGAAGCTATCCAGTTTGATCAGAATCATCTATTAAAGATGCTGTCTTTCTTTAGTTTGTACTTTTGCTTACTTTGTTAGAAATTAGGTGTCTAGCTGGGCGGTGGTGGCACCCAGTTTTTATCAGAGCACTTGGGAGGCAGAGGCAGGTAGATCTCTGTGAGTTCAAAGCCAGCCTGGTCAACAGAGTGAGTTTCAGGACAGCCATGGCTACACAGAGAAAGAAACCCTGTCTCAAAAAAAAAAAAAAAAAAAAAATCAAAACCACAAGAAAAAGAAATTATGTGTCTGATGTGTCTGGACTTAGATCTGGGATATCAGTTTTATTCTGTTGACCACCATATCTGTTTTTATGCCAATACTATTTTGCTTATACTGATCTGTAGTGCAACTTGAAATCTGGGATGGTGATACTTGCAATAGTTTGTTTGTTTGTTTTGTTTTTTAAGCTATCCTGGACTTTTTTTATTTTTTATTTTTTTTTCATATGAAGTTTAGGAAGAGGGAGAAAACAGGAAACAGGACAGGAGGCTACCACAGAGGGCCTCTGAAAGACTCTACCCAGAGGACCTCCCCTATCACTGGACTTGGAGAGGGGATTGGGAGGGAGGGAGGAAGGGAGTTACAGCTGGGATACAAAGTGAATAAACTATAGTTAATAAAAAAATAAAAAAATTTAAAAATTTAAAAAATTAATGTAGAAAAACAAAAAATAAAAAAGAAAAGAAAAAATATTTTTAAATATTTCTTTGGAGAATTGTGTTAGCTATTTTGTTGAATTTTTGATTGGGGTTACATTGAATCTGTAACTTGGTTTTTTTAGGATGGCCATTTTCACAATGTTAATCTTGCTGATCCATGAGCTTGGAGAAATCTTAAATTTCCGATGTCTTCATTTTTTTCTCTGCAGTGTCTTAGGGTAGAGGTTTTCAATCTCCTAATGCTGTTAATTTTTAATACAGTACCTCATGTTTGTGGTGACCCCCAACCATAAAATTACTTTCTTTGCTTCTTCATAACTGTAATTTTGCTACTGTTATGAATCGTAACACATATTATTGGTGATAGAGTTTTGCAAAAAGGGGTTGCAACCCACAAGTTGAGAATTGCTGTCTTAAGAGTTTTTGTTATTCAAGTCTTTTCCTCCCTTAGTTGGTGGTTTCCCAAGTGTTGTTTGTTTGTTTTTTGAGGCTGTTGTGAAAGATTTTTTTTCTCAGTGTATATGTCATTTGTATAGAAGAAGAGTACAGATTTTTATATGTTAATTTTGTATCCTGCTGTTTTGCTGAAAGTGTTTATCAGCTGTTAATGTTTTCTGAATAGTCTTTAGTATCTTTTATGTGTAAAATGGTATCATCTGCAAGTACAGATACTTTGACTCCTTTCTTTTTCTATTAAATTCCTCTTCATTTCCTTCAGTTGTCTTATTCCTCTAGCTAAGACTTTAAGTATTGTATTGAATATATATATATATATATATATATATATAGAGAGAGAGAGAGAGAGAGAGAGAGAGAGAGAGAGAGAAAGAGAGTAGACAACCTTGTCTTGTTCTTCTTGATTTTAGCAAAATATGTTACACATTTCTCTTTTAGAATGTTTCCCTGGGCTTGTTGTAAGTTGTCTTTTTATGTTGAGGTTTTCCTTTGCATCCATATTCTCTCCAGGACTTTTATCATGAAGGAGTGTTGGATTTTGTCAAAGACCTTTTTTTCATCTAATGAGTCTACCATGTGGTTTCTGTTTTTTAGTCTGTTTATATGATAGATTACATTTATTGATTAATATATGGTGAACCCATCCCTAAATCTCTATGATGAAGCTGTCTTGAGCATGGTGAATTTTTGATGTATTCATAAATTCATGAAATAAAATAATTTGCAGTTATTTTACTGTGAAGTTTTGTGTTAAAATTTTTTGGTCTATATTTTTTTTTGTTCTGTCTTTGACTGGTTTTTACATCAAAGTAAATCCTCCATAATAAACATTTGGAAATATTTCTTTATTTTGTGTTTTATGAATGATTTGAGGAGTGTTAGTGCTTCTTTGAAGTCTGGATGAATTTTGTGCTAAATTTGTTTGGCCCTGGGCTTTTTCTAGTTGGGATATTTTAAATTACTCCTATCTATCTCAGTAGGTCTTATAGGTCCATTTAAATAATTTACTTCATTTGGGTAGTGCCATCTCTGGACAGGTAGCCCTTGGAGGGATAAGCATGGTAATTGAACATGAACCCTGGGCTCAAGTCAGTAAGTAGTGCTCCTTATACTTTCTGCTGTAGCTCCTTACTCCAGATTCCTGCCTTGACTTCCTTCTCTCTTTTTTTTTTTTTAATTATTGTTTCTTTGTGAAATTCTCATTACGCACCCCAATTCTCATCTTCCTCTTCCCTAATATTCACCCTTCATTCACCCTTGCAGTCTCCTACCCAAAAGAAAAAATAAATTGTGGAAACTGTAATGTGTCCCAGAATATTTTACAATATACCCTATTGTCCACAATTTTTTGCTTGTAAATATTCATTGCAATGACTTGTTTGTCTGATATGAGGCCTCTGGTTTCTACTACTTTATCTACTGGAACCTCACTGGGACTCCTTACAGATATCTTGTTGTTGCCCTATATAATGGAGATCCTGTAGTTTTGGATTTGTAGGACTAGCTCCTTCATGCACTCCAGTAGTTTATCAATGAGGTAGATATTGGAGTGGACCAATTCAAAGCAGTGGATCTGGGCCTGAGAGGTATCTGAGCTGGTCAGCCCTCCAGCTCCTCCACTCTCATGGCCTCAGGGCCAACCCACTGCTACCAGGGCCAGCTCTACCTTGCTGCCCAGGCAAGGTGCAGTGCCTGCTCTCCCACTTGTTGCAGTCAGTGAGGGACATGGCCAGTTCTGCCACTCTAATGACCCTGAATCTAGCTCGCCTGTGTGCCATAGGTATGGAGGGACAAGGGAGGGAAGGAGAGTGTCTCTCTCTCATCACTATCCAGCAAACAAAAGGCAGGGCTAGCTCTCCTGTACTCTGCTCTTGAGGCTGCTGGCTCACCTGCAACCCCTACATCCAGAATCAGTTCTACTGCACTGCCCAGGTGAAGGGCAGGACCAGTTCTCCTGCCTGCTGTAGGTAGCAAGGAGCAAGGGGGAGTTCATCTCTCCCTTTCCCAGAACATGATACAGGAGACAAACTGTAGAGGCCAGTTCTCTCATGCTCAACACCCTCAGGGCCATTTATATCCTCAGGTCCAGCTCACCTATACCTCTGCCATCAGGGTCAGCTCTACTGTGCTGCCCAGGTGAGATGCAGGGCCTGTTCTCCAAAGTGCTGTAGCAAGTGTGGGACAGGGATAGCTATCCTGCTCTCAGGACCTTGCCAGGGCCAATTCTCCCACTCTCTGTTTCCTGTGGTGAGGGTAAATGGGAAGACAGGGGATCTCTTCCCTGCCTATACAACGACATAGCAGACGAGCTAGGCCTGCATCTCCCATACTCATGCCCTTGGGTATGGCTCACCTGCGACCCCCATATCCAGGGCTATCTCTACACTTGATGATTTGGGGTGGCAAGGAGTGTGTGTGTGTGTGTGTGTGTGTGTGTGTGTGTGTGTGGAGGGGGGTGGTCATCTCTTCTTGGCTCATGTCACCACATGGCAGACAAGTGGCATGCCCTCAGCAATGTCCCCACCAGCAGGGTCAGCTCTACTCTGCTACCCAGGCGAATTGCAGGCCCTGGAGTGCTGGGCCTGGTGAGGAGCAGGGACAGCTCTCCTGCTCCCATGACTCCAGGGCTAGGTCTCCGCTTTGCTACAGGTAGTGAGGGATGAGTGGGGAGGAGGGTATCTCTCCCTTATCCACACCACCGCATGGAGCCAAGTGGTAGGGCCAGCTCTCCCATCTTGTATCCTTGAGCGCTGGCTCATCTGCATCTTCTGAAATGTAGGTGGGGTAGCATTCTCCCAAGTACTGCAGCTAGTTGGGGTGGTGTCATCTCTTCTGTGCTCATACTCTCAGTGGTATTATGCCCAAGTGAGGGGTGGGACCATTTCTGTACAGCCCTCAGGCATCAACAGGTCCTCAGGCAGCAGCCTAGACCAGGGACATTTTCCTGTCCTTTGGTGGTAACAGTCTTTAGCTACTGCTAGGCCTTTGACTCAGATGTGGCCCTCTGTGGCAGCACAGGCAGGACCCCACCATGGTCCCAGGTGACATCATTGGCTTCTCACACCAGCCTGTTTCTCACTGTTCTCAAGTCTCCAGCTCTGCCTTACTGCATTGTGCCCTCCTCCTACTGTTTTTCTTTCATTTTTCCAGTTCTTGTTCTTCTTAGGGATGCCCAGGGTCTCTGTCTCGGGTTATCTCAGGAGTGGTTTCAGAAGTGCCATGCCCTACTGGTGCATTACTGTGCCAGGTAGGAGTCATTTCGGCCATCGTCTGCAGCTCCCCCAAGGCCTGTGTAGTGCCTGACTGACTGGTGGCCATCTCAGACTAGCTCCCTGTCTAGTCCTCATGGCATGGGTCTGGTGGTCATTTCGGGCTCATTCCTAGACCAGCCTGCCTGAGTGACCCCATGCAAGTATTTTCTGTTTTGGGCTCACTCCTGCCCTGGGTCCCCAGTCCCAAGTAGGGACTCTGGCTTGCTCCCTGCTCTTGGGGCCTTTTCAGTGCCAGACTGGCTGGCTTTTTTCAGGGAATGTTATGCTACTAATCATTTACATGTTCAAACATCATAACAGTGTAGATATAGCCTCTCTCCTCTCTCCCACCTACTGAGGCATATGTAACACAGCAGCAACACCTGCAATGCTTCTAAGGGCAGGCAACTTCCTTCTCTTAATCAACTGTGATTTAGTAGATTCTTTCCTCCTCAAGTTGCTTTCCTTTATCACAGCAATATGATGCAAACTAAAATAGATGCTTTTAATCCAAAGGTTCTATATTTACTTTTTGTCTGGATGACTTATCTAGTAAGAGTCAGGCATTGAAGTCATCCACTTTTAATATGTTACAGTCTAGTATGTGATTTTAGATCCAAATGGATCTAAATATAATTTCTTTTAAGAAATTATATACTTGTACTTGATGTATGTGTTGGCTAGTTTTATGTCAGTGTTACATACACTAGAGTCATTTTGGGAAAGGTAGCTTCAAATGAGAAAATTCTTGAACCAGACTGGCCCATTGACATGTCTGAAGGTCATTGTCTTGATTGATGGTTGATGTGGGAATATCCAGCTCATTGTTGGCATTTTTACCCCTGAAAAGATGGTCCTGGATGGTATAAGAAAGCAGCCTGAATAAGCCAGTAAATCGTGTTCCACCATGACCTTTGTATTAGTTCTTGCCTCCAGGTTCATGCCATGAATTCCATCCCTGGCTTCCCTGTAAGATGAAATAAACTCTTTTCTCCTTAGATTGATTTTGGCCATGCTGTTGTATAACATCAATAGAAACTCTAAGACAGTACATAAGTATTCAAGTTGTAATATTCTTTTAAAGGATTTTTTTTTTAATGAGTATGTGATGTTCCTCCCTATCCTGTCTAATGACCTTTGGGTTCATTTCCATCTTGTCAAATATTAAAATAGTTAAATCTTCTTGTTCTATCCTTTTATCCTAAGGTGTTGTCTGTCACAACAGAAATACACACAAAGAAAGTGTATTTCTTTGGGACAGCAAAAAGATGACTTGTGTTTTCCAATCCAGTCTTTTCACCTGTGTCCTTATATTAGGCAATTGACACCATTAACATTGAGATTTAAAACTGAACATTGTTCCAGTTTTTGTTTGTTTTGTATATGTGGTGGTTTTGTTAAGACCACTTTTTATTAAATAGTCTGTCTTCACTGAAAAGTGAGGTGTTACTCGTATGGACTTGCCTTAAATATGACTTGGTCTTTTTCAGCTTTTAGTATTCTTTCTTCAGTACATGTACTGTTTTGATTATTATGTCTCTGGAGTTTCTTTTGAGTAAGGCTCCATGAGGTTCTAGAGACTGGCAGTGAAGAGTTGTGGCTGATATTGGGCATCTGGGTGGCTCAGGCAGTTTCTTCCTAAGTCAGTTTAGATGTAGGTTTAGATTCCAAGCTGAAGTTCTGGTTTGCAGAATAACTCTGGACATCTTTAAGTAGGCTCCACATGGTGGAGCTTAATGGTTGCTAGTGTGTTGAACAGTGGGGGGCAGAGGCACCTGGCTCCTGCCTCCTGGCTCTGGGTTTTATTCTTGAAGTTCTGGCTTGGGAACTCAGGGTTCAGACTTAAAAATAGACCCAGATCCTCAGATACAGCTGTTGAGGTGGCTGGTAGTGGAGCAGTCTGTAGAAGGAGACTGACTCTAGTAGTCTCTAGGGTTTCAGGTTCTACCTCCACACAGTCCTGGACCTATAGGTAAGAGTATAGCTGACAAGGGGTGGGTGAACTGACTTAAGGATTCTTTACCTGAAGTTCTGCTTAGAATTCAGGGTTCAGGAATCCCAAATCAGTGCAGGGAACGAGGACTCAAAATTCAATTATTAAAATGTTCTAAGTGACAATTAATATTTACTATTGATCTATCTTCTGGTAAAGTTTGCTATTAATCCTAAACAGCTGTATAACCAAATCACCACACAGAGACTGGGTTCATTTAGTTAACCTAGAACACAATGCTGGGCAATAGTTACTCCCTCTTAAACCTCCAAGCCCTCACAGTTTTCTAACATTTAGATTTTACCCATTATACTTGCTTTTTGTGAAATCTTAGGTCTGATTCATTCTCCATGTCGTTCCAAGATCTATCCTCCAGCTCTGCTCTCCTAGCTTTCCTCTTGCCCTTTCTCCTCCCACTCATTTCCTGCCCTCTGGTTCCTCCCATTGCTCAACATTGTGGCTAGTTGCTTTATTTTGGCCTGTTTACACAAAGTTGAGACAGGATGCTTAGAATAAGTATCACAATGCAATATCTGGATTGAAACCAGAGTGTGTGTGTGTGTGGGGGGGAATCAGCATTTGAATGAACAAGGGTAAGGTGTATACATTTTAAAAGAACATTGTACCAACATTAAAATATAGAGTGTTGTAGATTGTACTTAATAGGAAATCATGATCTATTTATATGCACTTTTTAAAAGGTTCAATTTAAACATAAGGAAGTTGATAGCAAATGGAGAGATAGGATATTCTATACCACTATTAATTAAAAGAATATGGTGGTACTTTTGTTAGGGTCCAGAATATACTGAAAGAAACACTCCAGACTTGAGTATCATGTAAGCAACAAAGGATGTTTATTCTGCAGAAGTCCAACATGCTGGGGTCACCACCTTTACAACATGGCAGCGACCCCAAGAGTAGCTCAAAGGCCCCATTTAATGCCAAAGAGGGGAATTCATACTGTGGCTGTGTGGCCTTGATTCGGATTGGCCAGTGGCTGTGGAGGCTAGTCAGGACTTAGGTGCTTTTTAAACCAGTAGTTAAGCAACCTTATCTTCCCCAGGTCAGATGTCTTGGCTGTTTCTGATTTGTTGCCCTTTTGTGTGTGTGTGTGTGTGTGTGTGTGTGTGTGTGTGTGTGTGTTTTCTTCCTGTAACTCTTAGGCCTGTTCTGTCTAGAAAGAAAATGAAGACTGTTATGGAGTTGGTCAGGCTCTCTCATTCTCTCCTCAAATAGGATTCAATCAAAACTCCGTGAGATGGGTCCAAGGGCAGTATTGAGACTTTATCACCATGAGTTGTACTGTGGAGACCTGATCTTTAAATTTTTTTTTCTAATACTAGGCATTATCATGCAAGGGGCACAAAGCATGACCAGGAGAAATAGAACTAAGGACCTGTTTTCTGGTATATCAATAGGTAGCCATTTGTCTCTTATGCCAGAGTTTTTTTTTTTTTTTTTTTTTTTTTTTTTTTTTTTTTTTTTTTTTTTTGACATAGCATTTCAGCGTGGTAGGTGGGATAATGGATGACATTTTTCTCTTTTGTAACTTTTTCCAGCTGGCATTAGGACGATGTTATCAGGGCCCAGGAAGGCTGATAGGCTAGTCAAAGGCTAGGCAATGGGTCATTTATCAGAAGCATCTGATTAATGATCCAGTTGAAGAGAGAGGGAGCAATCACATCGGCTTGACTGCTTTACATCAGCTTTACATTCAGCAAGTCCAGATCTCAGTAGCTCGAGATCCATAGGTAATCCTGAATGGAGTCCATCAGCCAAATAAAAATCTGCTAAGAGAAATAGAGAGTAGGAACAGAAATTAAAATTTGTCTAGTATTTGGAGAATGTGAAGAATCCCAAGACCAAGGGGGGAAAAAATCCCATTTCAAGATCAAGTGAGTGTACGTATCTGGAGTTTGTTTGAGCTGCACCAGAGCCAGGTTTTATGACTTTTTGATTTACTGAAGCTCCTATGATTTTTAATTAATAAAAAGAAGTATATTAGTGTCACCATACATTGAGATTCATAGTTTAGAAAAAACAGTTGACAGTTGCCTATAAGACAGCATGAGTAGACTCATACCATTGAGACCTGTTAAAAGCTGTAGCTTTGGGTTAACATGCATGACCTTTTTTTTTCTTAGAGATATACACATTGGACAGAGATGTTTTTAGCAAGATGAGAAGCACTTTTAAGTCTATATTCAGGAGACAACCAAACAGAATCTAAAATCTTGAACTTGTGAGTAGATAGTAATAACCAGTGCTCCATCAGCTTAGCAGAACTCCATTGATCAGTGTTAAATTGTGAACTTCTGAAATCTTATAACAACATAAGTATAACAATAGCATAAAGGGAGGAAAGATATCTGAAACATTATTCATTAAATCACTTGTATAGCATTACAACTCATATTTGCATACCTTAAAACACTTTATTAGACCTCTAAGTACTTTACAACTTGTATTTACCGGTCTTAAAATACCTTTTATACCCTCAAACCCTTTCTTAGAGGCTTTTCTTCTTAACTTTCGTTTACCAACCTTGAAACATCTTCTTAGACCATCATAATTTAAACTTCAAATGCTCAGAACTTACATAAACTTCATACTTTTTCTATCCAGTTAGTCACCTCAAGGCACAGGTGGTTGATTACTAGGAGTATTAATGAAGGAATAGTAAAATGAAGGAATAGTAAAAAGTTACATTGCAATCTGTTTACCTTTTAACATGAAGCCTTTGAGCAAGGCAAACCTGTTTGCTTTTTTAAACAAAATATTTAGTACCTAGCACTTTTAACTAGCCAATGAATCAACTAATAAACGAACAGTGGATCTAACTGTATGTTTTCTGGTTGTTAAGCTATTATAGGCTTAGCCATCAATGTGATCAGAGACCTGGGAAGGATAAATTGTAACCTAAATGAATCTATGTATTAATCAAAAGGACAGACCACCTAGATAGTTCTCCAAAGCTCTTGTGGTTTCAAAGTATCATAGAGGCAGTCAGGCCATCAGGCACAAAAGATGAGAGGTGGTTTATATGGAAGACGAACAGAAGAGACTGACCTTACCTCATTTTCAGCAATGTGATACAATGACTTTCCAGGTGTCCAGTTTTGTCCACAGTTCAGGTTAGGCCTTAGCAGCAGGCAAGGCATTGGGGCATTCTTGCCCCATGGTTAGCATACCACAATCCAGAGTTGAAGTCATCTGTTGTTGTATCCAAATCTTCTTAGAGACCTTGGGGAGCTACTGCTAGGATTTGGAATTCTCTGTCATAATAAGCTTACACATGTTAAATGCCATATTCAGCACTTTTCAGTTAATCTTTGTCTTTTTTAGTTATCTGCTCTAAACTGCATCAACATAGAACAGAATGTTATAATCTGTAATTATGCCATATTCT